AGGCCGAGGGGGGCCCCGAGGCGGGCGCCGGGCGGCTGGCCTGCTACCCGGCCTACGTGGCCCGCACGCCCAGGCCCACCGTGCCGCCGCTGACCCCCGAGCAGTACGAGCTCTACATGTACCGCGAGGTGGACACGCTCGAGCTGACGCGCCAGGTCAAGGAGAAGCTCGCCAAGAACGGCATCTGCCAGCGCATCTTCGGGGAGAAGGTGGGCCCGGCCCGGGAGGAGGGGGTCTGAGCGCCGCCGGGCAGAGCAGGATTCCCCCCCCGGGCTGCGGGGCCCCGACACCCAAGCCGTTTCCTGCATCCCGCGGCCCCAGGGCCCGCTGGGGACGCGCCCACGGGCAAGGCTGGCATTCAGTTCTCCGGCTGTTAGAGCAGCTGTTAGAGCAGCGACACGCTTCCATCTGGTCGGGAAACAGCCACTTGCCTCCCTCTTCCTGGACCGCCATCCCTCCCCTGGTCCGGCCACTAAGGGTTAAGGCTCAGCCCAGCGGGGTCTCCTGATTGGTGGTGCCCCTGGTACCGTTGTGAAGTGGTTTTTAGCATCACTCTCCGCTTAGCAGAGCGGCAGGCAGAGAGTCAGGCGAGTTCAGAGGAGGGAGAGGTGACCCAAGTGGGAGGCACAGGAGGGCTTCCTGGAGGAGGGGGCACTGAAGTGGTCTTAAATCCAGGTGGGATTTTTACCTGTAGGGATGTTGGGGAGGGCGTGGCAGGCGCCTGGCAGATGAACAAAGGAAGGCAGCCCTGGCCTGTCAGGGCACAGGAGTGAACAGTGCGCCCTGAGGGTCTTGGGGAGGGGGGAGGGGACAGCCGGGCTCCCAGGGGCCTGCTGACCTTCCCTTCCTGCCCACCGTGCCCAGGTGCTGGGCCTGTCGCAGGGCAGTGTGAGCGACATGCTGTCACGGCCGAAGCCGTGGAGCAAGCTGACGCAGAAGGGGCGGGAGCCCTTCATCCGCATGCAGCTGTGGCTCTCGGACCAGCCCGGCCAGGCCACCGGCCAGCCGCCCAGCGCCTCCCAGGGTGAGTGCAGACGGGCCCTTCGAGGGGCGCTGCCAGCCCCCAACTGCAGAGGGCCCCACTCTCCCAGTCTGTGCAGTGGGGGGCCGTGCGGCTCTGCTGCCCGCGGCTGCCCCTCTCCGGCCCCACGGCCCCGGCACCGAGGGTTCTCCCCTGGAAGACTGCAGTGTGCGCCTAGCCGTGTCCTGCTCCCTGTCAGCCTTCCTTCACCAGACAGAGGCATCTGTCACTGGTTTTAAACCCCCAGGTGGCGCCAGGGTGCCCGGAGCAGGTGGAGAAAATACTTTGCAGGCAGAGCCCCACCCTCCCATCCCCTGTCGGGAATCGTTGATTGATCTCTTTTTCTCAGTAATCCAGCATGCAGCCTCAGAATCCTTCTTAGCACAGGGCTTGAGCAGCTGTTATCCGTCCATTAATGATGCACAGACAGAGTGGAGTCTGAACTTTGTCCGGGTGAGGAAACCGAGGCTCAGAGTGTTGCCCAAAATCACAGAGCCCGAGAGTGGAGGGATGGGGGGCTCCAGGGAGCCCAGGCTCCCTCCCCCGAGACGACCAGTGGGCAGGTCTGTCCTGGCCCTGCTGAGGTGCCCACCCAGGCTGTGAGGGGACGTGGCTGTGAGGACAGGACATCTGACCTGCCCGCTGAGACCAGAGAGGCAAAGACGAAGAGAGGCCGGACCCTGAGTCCGAAGCCCTCAGCTCAGTCAGTTTGCCCGTCTCTGAAGGGGATCGGTCCATGGGACAAAACCACATCTCGGGCTCAGGAAATGAACCAGACGGGCAGGTATGGACTAGGTTTCAACAGGAATGCTACCAGAAACGTACTGTGGAGCCACAAAAGCATCCTGGGTGATGGTGTTTATTTTAGAAGTTAGCGCCCACAGACGTGGCTACACATTGTTGTCATATCATGGCTGCAGGCTGTGCGTTAAAGTAAGAAGGAGCCCGGCCCACCAGCCTGGGGAGAGGGGCTGCCTGGGCAGAGCGGGGACCAGGAAGAGACGAGGAGGGCAGGGGAGGGGAGGGCTCTGGCTGTCTCCCTCGATTTTTGTCTTTAAAACAAACAAGATTTGAAGCAAACAGGGCAGTGTTAACATCTGTGAAAGTGATGGGCCCCAGGAAGGGACGGAGGACGGACATATTTTTCTTTTCTGTATATTCCTATAGCTTTGAAATATTTTATAATTAAAATTTCTAACTGAAAAACTGCTCCATAGGGCTGTTATGAGGACTAATACAACCGTTACAGTGACGGCGGTCACTTGTCACACCGTGCGAAACACTGCACTGCTTTCTTCTTTAATCCTCACATCAGTCCCGACAGGGGACTGTTTGTCATTCCCGTTTTACAGAAGAAGAAACCGAGGGTCTGAGTAGTGCAGTGACTTATCCAAGGTCACCGGCCCATTGGTGGCAGAGCCAGTGTCAGAACACAGGGCCATTAGCCATCACGCTCCCCGGCCTCTTAGGGTGCCTCTCGCAGAGCCCACACTTGTGAAAGGTTCCCATCCTTTTTGTTGTTGTGTTGTGTTGTGTTGTATTTTAATTAAATAATTTGTTTTATTGTGGTAAAATTCACATAACATAAAACTTACCATTTTAGCCATTTTTTTTAAATGTGCAATTCAGTGGCATTTAGTGCATTCTCAGTGTTGTGCAACCACCACCTCTGTCCAGTTCCAGGACATTTTCACGACCCCAAAAGGAAACCTCGCACCCATTAAGGCTCATTCCCACTCCCCACCCCCTGCCCCTGGCAACACCACTCTGCTTTCTGACTTGATGGACCTTCCTGCTCTGAACATTGCGTATCAGTGAATCATACAAAATGTGGCCTTTTGTGTCTAGATTCTTTCCCTCACCATCATGTTTTCAAGTTCATCCATGTGGTGGCACATGTCAGAATTTCATTCCTTTTATGGCTGAGTCATATCCCATTGTGTGGATGGACCCCCCTTGGCTATTGTGAATAATGCTGCTATGAACGTTCGCGCACGTGTTTTTGTTTGAACACTTGTTTTCAGTTCCTTTGGATCCACATCTAAGAGTGGAATTGCTGGGTCATATGGTAACTCTGTGTTGAACTCACTGAGGAATTTCCAAACTGTTTTCCATGGCGATTGCACCATTTACACTCCCGGCAGCGGCGTATGGGGGTTCCTGTTTCTCCACATGCTCGTCCACACTTGCTGTTCTCCCTTTTTGACTGTAGCCATCCTGGTGGATGTGACGTGGTATCTCGTTGTGGTCTTGATTTGCATTCCCCGATGTCTAACTGTTCGGCTTGTGGAAGGACTTGGGGGAGGACAGAGTTAGGCAGAGACGATCAGGATTGGTGTTCCTGGTGGGGGAACAGCACAGGCAAAGGCTGGGAGGCAGGAGCATCCAGGGCTTGGGGTGGGAGGTGTGGGCACTGAGGGTGGACACCTGGTCTCCTGACACCCACAGACCAGGAAGCCGGGCCGAGGCGCGTGGAGGCCCAGATGTGAGCGGTAGCTGCTGGCCCCGGGGCATGTGTGGTGGCTGATCCAACCAAGGCCACCACTTATCCACAGCCCGGAGGCGGGAGTGACCCACGGCCCACAAGTCTGGCTGACGGGCTGCGTCTGGACCTGGCCTAGCCACCCTTTTGTCCCCGGCCCCTCCACACGGCCACCAGGGCGGGGACTGGAAATGGAGGCCCACCATCCGGGGAGCTGGGGGGAGCCCGATGCAGGGAGGCTACAAAGCTCCCCCCCGCCGCCCCCCGAAGCCGCCAGCCGCAGACTCTGGCTTAATGAACCAGCCTCCTTAGCGACGCCCACAGTGGTCACCGTCGGTATTCCAGGCGCTTCTGTCCCAGCTTCTCAGAATTCCGAGCGTTGAGGAAGCCCTGCTCCCTACACGGTCCCTCTGTCTCCCCTCCGTCTCTCCCCCATCATTGTCTCTCACTGCCCCTTGTCTTTCTTGCTGTGTCTCTTTGTCCCCTCTCTCTCTGTCCGTCTCTGTCTCCCTCTTCCCGTGTTCCTCTTTCTCTACGTCTCTCTCACCGTCGTCTTCCACCTCTGCTCGCTCGCTCTCTCTCCCTCACCATCTCTCCCTCCATCTCCCTCCTTCCCTCTCTCCCTCACCGTCTCTCTCCCTCCCTCCATCTCTCCCCTTCCCTCTCTCCCTCACCGTCTCTCCCTCCATCTCCCTCCTTCCCTCTCTCCCTCACCGTCTCTCTCCCTCCCTCCATCTCTCCCCTTCCCTCTCTCCCTCACCGTCTCTCTCTATCATGACCAACCCTCCCGTTTGCCCGGGACTGAGAGGTTGCCCAGGACAGGGGACTTTCTGTACTAACACCAGGAAAGTCCTGGGCAAACCGAGACCGGCTGGCCACCCTGTTCTCCCCATTCTCCCCCCACGCCCCTACTCAAGCTCCCCCAGCGCGACTGTGCACGTCCAGCCCCCCAGCCCTTTAATTAGTGTGTTCCTCCTGATCGAGTTGATTTCTGAATCTTTCAGTTCTTTGGTCAGAAGCGGTCCTTGAAGTCAGAGCAGTGGGGAGAGGCCAGCATTCTGCCTGGGGTGGGGGGTGATGGGAGGGGGGCTGGTTTAGGGCTCATCATCTGGGTGTGTCTCCGTCTCCTCATCCCACTCCTTCTCCAGCTGGAAATCTGGCCCTTTGGGGGGCGGGGTGCAGATGGTTTTCCAAGAGGCAGATGCCTTCGAAGACCCTTGATTCTCCTCCCACTGAGCCCAGCCCCCTCCCCGGCCTCTCACTGTCCCGGGGTGGCCCCTCCCACCAGCTTTGTGTCTGTGCTGGTGACAGTGACAGGGGACATGTCCCTGTCAGCTCCAGCATCACACAGATGCCCCTGGGTGGCTAGGACTAGCCAATTTGGGGATGGAGGGGACATTAGAGTCTCGTGCCCCCACACATGGGCTGCCAGCCACACAAGCCTGTGATGCCACCACTCAGAACCTGGAGGCTTCCCTTTGCCCCTTTCAAAGGTAATGAGGGGTCTTGGTCGAAATTTATTCACTTGACAGACGTCTTCCCAGCACTCCTGCCTCCCTAGGCTCTAGGACTCACTAACACCTGGTCCCTGCCCTCCAGGGGCTCGTCTTGTGCGTAAGCAGACCTGAGAGGGCAGTCTTGGGCATAAGCAGACCTGAGCTCAAGTCCTGATTTTGTCTCTAGTCACTGTGTGACCTTGGACACATTGCCTAAGCTCTCTGAGCCTCAGTTTCCTCATCTGTAAAATGGGATGACAGCACCTACCTCCTAGAGGTGTTATGAGGGTGACTTGAAATCATGGGTGTAAAACATGTAGCACCACGCCAGGCAGTGGTAAGTGCTCAATAAAAGGAAGCTTTATTAATTTTTGTCATCATAATCGTCATTATTGGTGTCTCTGATAAGGGAGTGATCTGGCACAAGCAAGAAATTATAGTGAACTGTGACAATGTGTAGTCAGTGACCTATTAGACCCCAAAGGTGTGCACCTCAGGGAAGGGGCCTATGAGACGGGTCTTGAAGGATGCATAGGAGTTCAGGGTTGGGGGAAGGTCTTCAGAGTGGTAAGACCAGCCTGAGCAAAGGCATACCTAGGAGGTTTGTGGGGAGAGGGGTGACTGGAGGGACTGTGAGGAGCTCCAGGTCTGTGGGGTGGGCAGTGACAAGAAAGCCTTAAACACCAGGACAAGGAGGTAGATGTTCCTTGTGCAAGGAGCAGTGGGGAGCCATTAAAGCTTCTGGAGTGTGAGAGTGGTCTGATGAGAGTGATCCGCTCACCATCCACAAGGAAGGAAGAACCCACCCAGAGAGAGGCTCAGGATGTCCCTTCTGGAATCAAAGCCACTGCAGGACGGTTATGGGGCCCTTCCCTTCTTAGCCATCACAGATTTTTCTGTTTATTCTAACAAATTTCCAGTAGGCGGCAGTCAAATACCTTGAGGAAGAGGCACCCTTTTCTGCTTTGCCAGAAGGTACTATATGGACCAGCATTGGGATTCCTAGACCTTCCACCACACTCCCGCACCATTAGGGGCGTCTCCCTGGCACGTCCCCTGCCCTCCTGGAGTGTCAGGAGGCTCGGCTCACACTGGAAAGTCCAGTGGGTGACTCCACCTCCTCAGGGGGGAACCCCCATTGCCTCGTGGAGTCCCCCGATGGCCCCGACTAGGGGGTGTGAGTATAGTGCCGTGTGCTCTGTGGCCCCATTTAACAGTCAGGGATGGGGTTTGGCAAAGTCACCCCCCCACAAGATGTCTTCCAAATGGTTTTTCTATTATACATTCACACAAAGTGTCTTTTGACAAATGAAAGACGTGGTTTAAAAACTCACTTTTTTAATGTGCCAATGTACTATGGACATGTTTTCTTTTTTTTTCAGCTTTACTGAGATATATCTGACATACAACACTGTGTAAGTTTAAGGTGTACAGTGTGGCAATTTGATACATGTGTATATTGCAAAACGTTTACCACAAGATGGTTAGTTACGGGGCCAGCCTGGTGGTGCAAGTGGTTAAGTGCACACGCTCCGCTGCGGCGGCCCGGGGTTCGCCGGTTCGGATCCCAGGCACGCACCGACGCACCACTTGGCAAGCCATGCTGTGGCGGCGTCCCATATAAAGTAGAGGAGGATGGGCATGGATGTTAGCCCAGGGCCAGTCTTCCTCAGCAAAAAGAGGAGGATTGGCAGATGTTAGCACAAGGCTGATCTTCCTCACAAAAAAAAAAAGAAAAGAAAAGAAAAGTAGTTACCGCAGGCTTCACCTCGCATGATTACCACTGTGTGGTTGTTGCAGTGGTAGTTGTTGCTGTGATGGGGCCATGACCACTCTCCTCGAAGAACAACTGTCGAGTATTTAACACATTATAATATAGTGTTACTAACTACAGTCACCACGCTGTGCATCAGATCCTGAACTTGTTCATCTTATGGGGACATCTTCTCATTACATTGTTTTTAATTGCTTCAGGGACTCATCATATTTTATTTAGCTAATCTCTGGTGGTTGGACTTGGAGATTGTTGCCAATTTCATTTTTTTAATTTTCTTTTGGTGTAATTTCTGATTTACCGAAGAGTTGAAACAATAGAACAACAACTTCCTATACCCAACACACAGATTCACCAGTTCCTAATTTTACCACATTTGTGCTCTTTCTCTCTCCACCATTTGAGAAATTAGCTGGAAACATCACGTCCCTTTACCCCCTAAATGCTTCAGCAAGTAATTCCCAAAAATGAGAAATTTTACCATGATACACCACCATTATGTAACCCACCATCTGTATTCAAGTTTCCTCAATTGTCCCAATAATACCCTTTATGTGATTTCATTTTTCCCTGCCTGGGATCAGATTCAGCACCACTTGTAATTCATGGTCATGTCTCTTTAGTCTCTTTAAATTTGGACAGTTGTTCTGCCTCTCTTTGTTTTTCAATTTTGACACTTTTGAAGACTGGAATCCAGTTATTTTATAGACTGTCTCTTTTTGGCTTTGTCTGATGCTTCCTCGTGATTAGATTCAGGCCATGCGCTTTGGCGGGAATATCACAGAAGTGATGCTGTGTCCTTCTCAGTACCTCGTATCAGGAGGCACCGATTGTTGATTTGTCCTGTGGTTGGTGATGATCACTTTGATCATTTGGTTAATGTGGTGTCTGCCAGATAGTTCCACTGTAAAGTTACTCTTTTTCCCTTTGTGATTAATAAGTATCCTGCAGGGAGATACTTTGAGACTATGTAAATATCCTGTTCCTCACTGAACCTTCATCTGCTCATTTTTGCATCCAGGATGGTCCCTGCCTGAGATGTTACTGTGATCATTGCAGAATGGGCTGTTGCCAACTCTTGGCTCTAACAAACAAGCCTGCCCAAACTGTGTATGTCTGTGCCAGATTGTGCTAACTGCCTTCTCTGCCTCTCTGTGGCCCACAGCCAGTCCCACGGAACCGAGGTCCTCGCCATCCCCACCCCCTAGCCCCACGGAGCCCGAGAAGAGCTCCCAGGAGCCCCTGAGCCTGTCACTGGAGAGCAGCAAGGAGAACCAGCAGCCAGAGGGACGCTCCAGCTCCTCGCTGGGTGGGAAGATGTGCTCGGGCAGCCAGGCCTCCGGGGGCATCCAGGAGATTGTGGCCATGTCCCCAGAGCTGGACACGTACTCCATCACCAAGAGGGTCAAAGAGGTCCTCACAGACAACAACCTAGGTATGGGTGGCGGGAATCAGGGATGCTACATCCTGCCCTGGGCGGCTCCTACTTAAGGGAAGTGCCCGCAGTGGGATCCAGGGCCCTGGGGTACAGCCTGCAGGTGCCAGTCAGCCCTGGGGCATCCAGGACCCTCTGGGAGGCATCTGACTCTGACCTGGGTCCCTAGAGTGGGACAAAAGGGAGGTGAATGCAGGTCTGATATGACCTGAAATCCTCAGCCCACAGCTGTCAAAACTTCCTTCCAGAAGGACTGGGAGAATCCCAGTCACAGAGACTCTAGCTCAGTCCTGACCCAGGACTGACCTCCTGCCCTCGGGTCACAGAGGAGAAATCTGTTCTCTGATTCTTCTGCTTTTGGGATCACAAACCCCTCCGCCTCTCAGATCCAGGTCATGCCCCCCTCCCAGAGGGATGCACACAAACCCCAAATTTTTCACTACAATTTCTATTATAAAAATAAGGCATGTTCATTATTTTAAAACAGTACAGAAAAAATTCATTAATAAATAAATAAATAAAATCCCCCAGCCTCCCAGTCACACTCCTCAGTTTGTATGTATCTGACACTTTCTGAACACATGAGAATAAACGTACACCTAGTTTCTTCTTTTCTTTTTTCTGTGTAGATGAAATCACACACATACTGTCCTACAGTTTGCTTCTTAAATATTAACAGTTTCCTGGACACCCTTCCACACGGGAACGATTAGACTGTCTGCATTCTTTTTCACTGTTGTAAAATGTTTCAGGCCACGGATGCCCCACATTTTTTACCCAACCGATGGGCATCTGTGTTGTTTCCAATTTCCTGCTTCTCCTGAAATGATGTCTGTGTGCGTCTTGGTGCCCTCGGGCAAGTACAGCTGGAGGATGTATCCCAGGCAGTGGAATTGCCAGATCAGAGGCTATGCACGTTGACATTTTGATAGAATCTGTCAAATTATTGTCAAACAAGCTGATACTAATTTGTGCACATAGAGTTTGCAGACAATTTCAGAGATCCTCTAGCGGTGAAGAACATCTAGATAGTGACAGCATTTTTGTTGGTAGCTGTCTGGTCCCCATCCCCGAAATCTCCTCCTTTGCAGAAAGGACCCCTCCAGGTCCACCCCATGTGTCTGGTCCTTCCTTCCATCCTCGGGGGCTCCCTTGTGTCTCTGGCCTGTTTCTTGTCTTAGCTGGGAGCCCTCCGCCCAGCCTGGGTGACGGGTTGCCCTCTCCTCTGTCCCCAGGACAGCGGCTATTCGGGGAGAGCATCCTGGGGCTGACGCAGGGCTCCGTGTCTGACCTGCTGTCCCGGCCCAAACCCTGGCACAAGCTGAGCCTGAAGGGGCGGGAGCCCTTTGTGCGAATGCAGCTGTGGCTCAGCGACCCCCACAGCGTGGAGAAGCTGAGGGACGTGAAGCAGCTGGAGAAGAAAGGTGGGCACTAGGCCTCTGGCTCTGACTCGGGTTTTCCCCTTGGAACCGTGTCTGGCTGTGACCCAGAGAAATCCAGGGCCCCGATGGTCCAGTCTCAGCCTGGCGTGGGGCTGCAAGAAATCGCAGTCCCACAGAATAAACCGGAAAGCAGTTAGACTGTTCACCACTTCTCCCATTAAAATGCCAGTGCCCCGTCTCTCTCAGCATCCTTCCACGCAGCCATAGCTGCTCCAGAGTCTTCTGCCAACCCCAGCTGCATGTCCCCCATGAGCTCTCTCTCTGATCCCTCCATGCTCTGCATCCTCTCCCTGTTGTATAGATCCCCCTTTGCCCATCACCCAGATTCTGCACAACAAAGCTCAGAATTATGAGCACCCTCCCTGAGGGGTGGGTGTTGTCTGGTAGTCTCTTATGTCCCGGGGAAGATGTGCCGGCGCTGAGCGCCTGCTGTGTGCCCACTCAGTCTCGTGCTGTGCATAAGGAATTCCTGGGTCTTAAAAAGCTCAGGGTCCAGTGGGAGGTGAGATACGAGGAGTGGAAAAGTTGTCATCCAGGGCGCCAAGGCGGGGCATTGGCACCAGACAACCCTACAGTTGAGAACCTGGCCTGCCACTTCCTGGCTGTGTGACCTTGGGCAAGTTACGTCCCCTCTCTGTGCCTCCTTCTGCTTCCTCTGGAAATAAGAGCCCAGAGCATCTACCTCAGGGCATTGCTGTGAGGATTAAATGAGCCCCTAATACCTTACATCCTCCATTCTCAAGTGGGCTTTTTTTTTTCACATTTTGATGATTGGAGGTTCTGATGCATCATGGGCTTACCGGGTTTCTTTAAATTAACGCCCTGCCCCCACCCCCAACAGGACTAGTGAAATTCAGGGACACTTCTGACAATCAGGAGCAAGCATAGCACCCCTTTTTGGGCTCTTCCTATCTGTGAGGGCCCTGCTATGCTCTCTGCATACGTTAGCACCTGGGTGCTGACGACCAGACCTCAGACGCAGGCGTGTGCTCAGACCTCAGAGGCAGGTGTGCTCTCGGCAGGTGGGGCAGGCCCCATCTCAGTGGAGGGCTGGGGAGGGAGTGGAAGGACGGCAAGGAGGGAGTGAAGGATGAGACTGAGGGCAGCCCTAAGTGTGGGCCATGAGGGGCTCAGGGGGGCTGGCTGATGAGCCGCGCCCAGGCCCTGCTCTGCTCTGCTCGGGTGCCCCTGGGGGGTGGGGGTGGAGGCGGCCATGGGCCCCTCTCAGCCCTCCCCCCCACCCCCAGCCTACCTGAAGCGCAGGTACGGCCTCATCAGCACCGGCTCCGACAGCGAGTCCCCGGCCACGCGCTCCGAGTGCGCGAGCCCCTGCCTGCAGCCCCAGGACCTGAGCCTCCTGCAGATCAAGAAGCCCCGCGTGGTGCTGGCGCCCGAGGAGAAGGAGGCGCTGCGGAAGGCCTACCAGCTGGAGCCCTACCCCTCGCAGCAGACCATCGAGCTCCTCTCCTTCCAGCTCAACCTCAAGACCAACACCGTCATCAACTGGTTCCACAACTACAGGTGGGGGTGGCTGCTGGGAGGCGGGCAGGGGTCTCGGCCAGACCCCCTTCCCCGCCCGGGGCCTGGAGGGAGCCCATGTGGCGTCGGGGAACGGGGAGGCCGTCTTGGGTGGATGTTTAGATTTAGAATGTGGGCCGAACTGGCTGTAAGTCCCAGCTCCCCCATGTCCAGCTGGGACACCCCGGGCGTGTCACTTCACCTCCCCGAGCCTCAGTCTCCTGACCTGTAAAATGGGGACATAACAGGCTCTACTTGGGGCCGGCCCGGTGGCGCAAGCGGTTAGGTGCGCGCGCTCCGCTGCGGCGGCCCAGGGTTCGCTGGTTCGGATCCCGGGCGTGCACCGACGCACTGCTTGGCAAGCCATGCTGTGGCGGTGTCCCATATAAAGTGGAGGAAGATGGGCACAGATGTTAGCCCAGGGCCGTCTTCCTCAGCAAAAAAAAAAAAAACAGGAGGATTGGCGGATGTTAGTTCAGTGCTGATCTCCTCACAAAAAAAAAAACAAAACAGGCTCTACTTCATAGAGTCAGCCCGAGGATTCGATGGGCTATCATAGTTACATGAGACACCCGGCCCAGTTATCATCGTCACTCTCTTTATTATGACACCACCAGCTTGCTCTGCGTCTGCCTCTGCGAAGGGCCAGGGAATGGTGTCTGGGGCCCAGGCCTGGGGAACCCTGAGTACCCACTGGGCCTCATGGCAGAGCCCTGACGGGGGCTCTTGGCCTCTCCGGCTCCCCAGACTGAGGGAGACCCTTCTGGCAGCCCCTGGCTCCCCCACCTTGAGGGGCGGGTGACTCCTGTTTCTGTGGCTGCTCCTGCCGCCCTCCGGTCCCTAGTCCCGGGAGGCGCTGGCCTGCAGGGCCAGGCTTCCTGCGGTGTGACTGGGTCCCGCAGTCTAAGGAGACTGCAGAGGGGCTCTTGAGGCCAACCTAGAGCCCTGCAGAAAGGCTCAATGGATTTCAGGGACCATCTCTGAGGCGCCCCCGCCCACCTTCCTGAGCAGGAAGTGTCTCTGGTGCCCACGGGTGCCAGAAAGGAGAGCCCTCCACGCGTCCCGGGGCAGAGCGAGGTCTCTTGATCCCCAGGGGAGAAGAGGAGGGAGGAGCCTGGAAGGGGGCGATACTTGAAATCTCCTCCCCCCACAGCCCAGGCAGCACACAGACCTGAGTTCAAGTCCCGCCTTGGCTGTGTGTTCTTAGGCAAGTGACAGTGCCTCTCTGAGTCTCATCTCTATTTTTTTTTCTTTTTTTTTTTTGTGAGGAAGATCAGCACTGAGCTAACATCTCCCAATCCTCCTCTTTTTTTGTTGAGGAAGACTGGCCCTGGGCTAACGTCCATGCCCATTTTCCTCTACTTTATATGGGACGCCACCACAGCATGGCTTGACAAGCGGTGCGTCGGTGCACGCCCAGGATCCGAACCGGCGAACCCCAGGCCACCGGAGCAGAGTGCACGCACTTAACCGCTTGTGCCACCGGGCCGGCCCTCTATTATTACAATTTTTAATTGTTAGCATCATTATATCAACAACGTTTACTTCATTATTAATATTAATGGGCAGAGAGCCACAGCACTGAAGGTGCTGAGGAAGCCTGTCGCTCTGTGACCTTGGAGGAGTCCTTGGGCCTCTCTGGGCCTCATTTGCTATCAGGAAACTAGTCAATGGGGTTAGACCCATTCCCGGCCCTCCTTGTTGTAAAACGTAGTGCAGGAGACTAAGTTTCCCTCCCACCGCAGGCAGGTGGTTGCAGTGAAGAGACAGGGTTCTGGACTGGAATTCGGGTACCCGGGTTCTGGTCCCAGCACTGCCCCTGTGTGCCGTGGTGACCTGGAGAGGTCACTCTCCACGCCTGAGTTTCCCCTTCTGGGCCGATGTCTAAGAGTCCCTGCAGGGGAGAAGCGGGGAGTTGTCACCCCAAACTAGATCTGAGTTTGACTTTGAGAAATGCTCTCGACCAGTGCCATCCACTAGAAATATAATGCAAGGCGCACACGTGATTTAAAATTTTCTAGCAGCCACATTAAAAAAATAAGAAAGAGATTAAACTAATTGTAATAGTATATTTTATTTAGCCCATATATACAAAATAACCATTTCCACATGTAATCAATATAAAAACTTTATTAATGAGATCTTTTGCAATTTTTTTTGTATCAAGCCTTCAAAATTCAGTGTGTCGGGCCGGCCCCGTGGCTTAGCGGTTAAGTGCACGGCGGCCTGCTGCTGGCGGCCCGGGTTCGGATCCCGGGCGTGCACCGACGCACCGCTTCTCTGGCCATGCTGAGGCTGCGTCCCACATACAGCAACTAGAAGGATGTGCAGCTATGACATACAACTATCTACTGGGGCTTTGGGGGAAAAAATAAATAAATAAAATTATAAAAAAAAAAAAATTCAGTGTGTCTTTTACCCTTATAGCCACATATCAAGTGCTCAAGAGCCACGTGCTGCCAGTTGCTACTGTACTGGATGGCACAGGTCTAGATCTCGAGCTCTGGAACCCAACAGTCCTGAGTTCAAGTCCTGGCTCTGCTACTTACTGGCTGTGTGTCCTGGGGCAAGTCACTCAACATCTCTGAGCTCTGAAGTAGAGCTAATAATAGCACCCACCTTGTAGGGTTGTGGAGAGGACTTACTGAGATGCTACATGTGAAGAAGCTTAGTGCCTGGTGAACCCCCAGAGAAGTGGGTGGGGTCAAAATGTCACCCACATGGGTTGAGTCCAGTGTTAGCCAGGTCCCCCGTCCAGCCCCTCGCTCACCACCGTCTCTGCCCCAGGTCCCGGATGCGCAGGGAGATGTTGGTGGAGGGGACCCAAGACGAACCAGACCTCGAACCCACTGGGGCTTCTGGTGTCCTGCCGCCACACCACTCCCACCAAGACCCTACACTGCAGAGCCCCGACTCCGAGGCTGAGGACCAGAAGCCTACCGTGAAGGAACTGGAGCTTCAGGAGGGCCCCGAGGACAGCGTCACAGCCCTGACCGCCCAGGACAAGGGGCAAGTGAGGATCAAGCAGGAACAGACAGAGGAGGATGCTGAGGAGGAGGCGGGCAGCCAGCTCCAGGACGCAGGGGAGCTGGACAAAGGCCAAGGTTCCCCCAGAGAGGGGCATCCCAACCCTCCGGGTAATGACAGACTCCCAAATGTGGCCCCAGGGCTCCTTTTTCCAGGTGGGACCACCCCAGACTGCCCCTCACTGCAACCCCACCAAGAGAGTGAAGGTGGGGAGCGGCTATACCCGGACCCTCTAAGTTTTAAGTCAGCCTCGGAGTCCTCACGCTGCAGCCTGGAGGTGTCACTGAACTCGCCCTCGGCCGCCTCCTCGCCAGGCCTCATGATGTCCGTGTCACCCGTCCCCTCCTCCTCAGCCCCCATCTCCCCATCCCCACCCAGTGCCCCCCCTTCCAAAGTGCCGAGCACCAGCCCCACTGCTGACACGGCTGGGGCCTTACACCCCAGCGCCAAGGTGAACCCCAACTTGCAGCGGCGGCATGAGAAGATGGCCAACTTGAACAGCATCATCTACCGGCTAGAGAGGGCAGCCAACCGGGAGGAGGCCCTGGAGTGGGAGTTCTGAAGGTGGGGGTGGGGGGCAGACCCGGGTGGCCACCTTCCCTCCCTCACTCACTCTCCCAGACAGGGTGGGGTAAGGGAGGGAGGAACTCAGCCGTCCAAATGTGGACAGCAATGTTATGGCGTTTACGTTTTTTGTTGTAATCCTAGTTTGATGAAGTTGTGAGCAAGTGGGTGGGGCAGGTGCCACGGCCTCCTCTTTTTGGCACCTCCCCCCCAGGGGGCACCCTCTCCCCCCCCACCCCGGCCTCTCTGCAGGAGGCGGAAGCAAAGTGGCTTCACATTTTCACCTGGAAACTGAACTCTTTTAGAAAAATAAATAAATATTTATAGACTTCTTTTAGATATTTTAATAAAGGATCCTTTGGAATTTATTCCCAGCTGATGCTGTTTTGATATTACAGAGAGTTATAAAATCAGGATGCTGCCACAACTGTTGCGAAGTATACACTGAAGTTGTGTCGTTTTTGCCACTAGATGAGATTAAAAGAAGACAATTGTTCAAAGCCATCACGAAACACTATGAGACTGACCAAAATTTAGATAACCCTCGAACCGCGGTTTTTTCCACATCTGTCTGTGAGACACAGCGCGTTGCTATTGTCCTTCCAGAAACCAAGCTGGAAAGAGAAAGTCCAGAAGACTCTAAATGCAAACCTCAATGCCGTTGAGGACGTGTTCCACTCTGGTGGTCTGTTTTGCAACCTGGACAACGCAGAGTGTCCCGTGCTGTTGTAGGTGTTGTAGAGGTGTGGGCTGTGGCCGACCGCCCTACCTGACGTGGTCCAGAACAAACTGGTTACACTACCTCTGGTCAGAAGCCTGTGCACATCGATCTCGTCCATCTGTAGACAAGATGTGTTTCCGGATCCTTTGGAAAGCCAGGCACGGAGGCAGGTGACTGGAGGAGGGGCACTTGAGCCAGAGTCACCCCATTCCCCAGCCTGAATTGTGGCCACAGCACAGGAAGCTTCCCCACCAGCTTTCCAGAGCAAGACTGTGGCCGCCATCCTCCCTCCTTGTGTTTTAAAATATCAGTGTTGATCATCCCACAAGCACCCAACGCCAAGAAGGAGATTCATGCAACTAGAGAGGCCAACTCCCCTCCTCGCTGTCTTCTCTCTCAAGTTGGCCCTGCTGCTGTTTCTGGAAGGCACCTGCAGCTCCAGGTCCATGCAGAACCAAGCGAGAAGGTTGAATGCGCCACAGCATGACCACCATATCCCAGTCTCCAAGGCCTCCCACCTGCCTCCCAACGCATGACCTTTTGGGCAGCAAGGACTCAACCCCCCAGCTCAGAGAAGCCCTTCCTCTGGCGTCTTCGTCATCTTGGTTTCTGGGGGAGAGTTCTCAGTTTGGATGGAACAGCCACCATATTGGTTGTTGAATCTCTGTCTCCTGTTTTGATGTCTTCTCCTTTTGCAAACTGTGTGGGAAGGCTGAATTTGGTGACTCCCCAGCTGAATCCAGAATGACGAGGAAAAGGTGGCCATATTCGGTGCCAATCCAGTGCAGGGGAGAGATGGCGGACGGGGGTTTCAAGGATGCAATCCAGCAACCCAGTGACCAGAAAGGGACAGCGGAGGGCCGTTCCAGAATCTCAACTCGCGTGCACCCAGCCCAGGCTGCGGTCTCCATGCCAGTCGGTGAAGAACGCAAACCTGCAGAAGAGCTCCTTTTCCGCACACCCAGGCTACGCATCGAAGAGTTTTCCACTGTATACATTTTTATCCAGATGAAGGTATTTTTATATTTTGACAATAGGAAACAGTGACCAATTTTCAGAGTAATCAGATGTGGAACAAACAAAACATCTCCTTTTAACCACCACCGCCCTATCTCAGCGAAGACAACCATGGGGGAACACACCACTTTTTGCTGTTGAAACCCACACCGCAGTGCACTCCAGGCACACACGCAGACTATGAGTCTTAGAGACCTAGATCTGGCTTTTGTGTAACGGGATTCGAATAAGCACTTAGCATAGTCTTTTGAACACGGAAATCCTATTGTGCCTAAAGCTGGCAGACCCGTGAACAACTTTGTCAGGCTCACGTCCTATGACGGTCAGAACAAAACAAAAACTCACAAAACCGTTTCTATGAGAGATTGATGAACTTTGTTTAAAATTTAAAAAAAAAAAGGAACACGTTCTGTAAACGCGTCGCTCAATACAGAATTGTATAATAATGTCTGGGTGTCCTGCTTGCTTTGTTCTGGAGCTGGGGGTGTGAAGTGGGGGGTCGGTCCTCAGAGGTGTTGTACAAAATGGTATTTTTACAAACTGGTTTTTGAGGGCCAGCCCTGGTGGCCTAGTGGTTAAGTTCAGCACACTCGGCTTCAGCAGCCGGTGTTTGGTTCCTGGGCGTGGACCTACACCACTCTTAGTGGCCATGCTGTGCTGGCAGCCCACCTACTAAAAAATAGAGGAAGATTGGCACAGATGTTAACTCAGGGCGAATCTTCCTCAGCAAAAAAAGAAAAAAAAAACCTGGTTTTTTAATTAGTTTGCCACCATTAAAACGTGGGGGCATGTCACATAAAAACTGCGATTACTGGCCTCTCTTGAAAACTGTAAGATCTGGCCACACTGCGTCCAGGTTCCAGTGTGACAACAGCCAGCTGAAGAGTGGCTGCCCCCTTTAGGCACGACGCGTGCCCGTGATTTGCCTCCATCCTCACCCGTGCCCGGGTCCTGTGGACATCCCAGGTGGCAACTGTGCTGTGGGCCCCGGCAAAGGAAGACGGGAGGATTGGAATCCACTTTTCCAACCAGTGCAGCAGGGTGGACGCGGGTTAGACTCCGGGGCCCAGTACTAGGAGCCGAGATGGTGCCCTGCCCCCAGATCGGTGGCCACAGGCCAGGGCCCTAAGCACCACCAGTTTACAAGCTGTGCCCACCTCAGAGGAACGAGCGGGTGCTGGGTGCCCCCGGCCTCCTGATGGGAAAAGGCCAGGAGGGGCTTCCTGGGGACCAACACAGCATCGCCCCTTTCCCGGCTGTACACCTAGGGCCTCGGTTTCCCCATCTGTACAATGAGGTATCAGAGCAGCCAGTTCAAAGGTCATAATGAGGAATAATCATGCCAGGAAACACCGGAAGACTGTGCGGCACATAAGGGGCGATATTACTTCTCGTTATCCTGGGCGGGGGCTGGGCTCCTTCAACCCATGATGCTGAGTCTCTCTGTGCATCACACTGCAGGAGGTTTGTTTTTCCTTCACCAGTAATGTCAGGAGAGTCCCCGAAGAGGCATTAAACATTACTCATCCCTGAGCCAAGGCCACATGGCGTCCCAAGACAGATCTTTCCTCTTCGTCTGGAAACCTTCCGATCACCCATTTTTCCGCATGTCCTTGAGGGGGAAGTAACGATGAATTGCCTCCCCTTGGTTAGGAAAACGATTTGCTCCAAATCCAGCAGGACACCCCGCGATGCCTGAGCACCCCGTCAAGGGGGAGGGTAGAGGCCAAGGCCCTCGTCGGCCCTGGAGGTCCCAGCTAGCCATTAAGGGCGACGTTTCAGGCAGGCCCGGCCTTTGCTCAGAGGCGGAAAGGAGGAGGATGGGAGTCAAGAGCTCATGCGTGGAGCAGGATGACCTGGTCTCAAGCCCGGCTCTGCCTCTTGGAGCTGTGTGACCTTGCGCAAATGCCTAAACTGCTCTGTGCCTCAGTTTCCCAAGCTGTTGAATGGGGGTATAGGAATGGTAGTTGTAAGGTTCAAATCGAGTGAAGCCAAGGACGGGCCCTTTAAACCCTCTGTTTGCAGCTCTGGAGGTCAGAAGTCAGAAATCCCCAGGATGCGGCCCCATGTGTGGGTGGGGGCAGGAACGGAGGAGGAGGCTACCTCTGACACGCACGAGCCCCCTGAGAACCTTCAGAAGGAGGTGCCCCTGGGATCCGGGAACGAGGGCTCCATTCTGGGCCATCGGCTTTCGTGTGCACATTGTGTCTGCGGTCGCCGCCCATCTGGAGTGGGAAATGCAGCAAAAGCACAGAAACGTGGATTCTGAACTAGGGACCACAGGAGAGCGGGAGTGGAGGGACCGGAGAGGAACGAGAAGGCAGGGAGGGTCTTGCAGGAGGAGGCGGGTTTAGATCAGGGGACAGAGGGGAGCAGGGAGCCGAGTTGGAGGCAATTGGGTGACTGCATCCAGGTAGTAAGTACGTATTGAGTACCTACTGTGCGCTCAGTGCCTCGATGACAGAAACATGGGGGACATGAGAGCATGAGTAGTGGGGTCCAGGAAGGCTTCCTGGAGGAGGGGGCATCTCAGCTCACACCTGAAAGACACTAGGACTTAGAGGAGAAGCAGAAGAGGAGGCAGAAAGAACAGCAGGCAAGACATGGGACAGGGACAAGAACATGGGGAGAAAGCCCACGGGAGGCTGGGATTTGAGGGGGGCGCAGAGGGAGGAAGAGGGATGAGGGCCAGATCCAGAAGCCCCTTGGGACACGGTGGGAAATACACCTCTCTCCTGAGGGCACTGGGGAGCCATGGAGGGTGTGAGGCAGGGGTCGCTGTGGTCTGACTTTTAGGAGGTTAGGAGGTCCACTGTCTGGGGGATGACGGGCCAGAGGGGGTCCTTGCCTCCCACTCCTGCCCTCCTCTTCCTCCTAGTTAAGCTCCTCGCATGGGGCCAGCAGCCCCGCCTGCCATCCCCTCCTGGGGACTGAAAAAGCCAGACCTGGCCTGTAGCCAGGGCACTGGGCTGCCTTTGCAGACACCAGGAGGCTGAAGCCACCCCGCGGACAGGGCAGGGAACCACCCTGAGTGACCTTGGCCGAGGTGCCTCCTCACCCTGGGTCGGCCTCCCCATCTGCGCAAAGAGGATGAAACAGCTGATCTCTTTAATGCCGTGTGACCTCCTCCAGCCCCCTGGGTGTCGTTGTTAAAGGCACTGGGTTTGCACTCAGCCTGGCCTGGGTTTGACTCTCCACTCTGAGGTAATTTGGGCCCTTCAATGAGACTCAGTTTCCTTATCTGTAAGATGGGCATGATCATAATAGTATCTACCT